TTTTGAAGCCCACCCCTGGGTTGTTCCATAAGCTTACTTTTTTTTTTTTTTCATAACAAAGGGCATTGCCTATTTTGCCTTATTTCAGGGCTGCCTTCCTGCAGCTGGAAACACAATGCATTTAATTTAGCAGGAGAAGGGTTTTTTTTCCGTGATCTGAAGCCCCCTTCTTGCAAAAACTTCATTTGTGAATGATTACGTGACTACTAGACGGTAATAAGAGACCACTGAGTTTAAACGGTGGGGAAGGCAAGATTTTCATTTTGAATGTCCACCTTTGTTTTAGGACAACTCTTTGCTTAGGGCAAGATGAACAGTTGCCTTGGAAAGAATTGTCCCCAGCTTAATTAATTAGATTAATAGAGTTGGAAGGGACCTTGTAGGTCATCTAGTCCAACCCCTCACCCAAGCAGGAGACTCTACACCATTTCTGACAGATGGCAGTCCAGTCTCTTCTTGAAAGCCTCCAGGGATGAAGCTCCCACAACTTCCTAGGGCAACTTCTGTTCCATGGGTTTGATTGTTCTCACTGTCAGAAAATTCCTCCCTATTTCCAGGTTAAATCTCTCCTTATTCAGTTTCCATCCATGATTCCTTGTCTGGCCTTCAGATGTGTTGGAAAATAGCTTGACCCCCTTCCTCTCTGTGGCAGCCCCTCCAATATTGGAAGATGCTATCCTGTCTCCCCTGGTCCTTCTCTTGACTACACTAGCCATGCCCAGTTCCTGAAACTGATCATCGTATGTTTTAGCCTCCAGTCCCCTAATCATCCTTGTGACAACAGGATATCTGTCTGAATATTTCCTGACATTTGTTTTATTTTCCTCTGCCATTTTATGACCTTTCACGAAGCCTTCAAGGTAGCTAACAATTATTTTTAACAACTAGGTCATTGAGAATATTGCATAATAACGAAATTAAATCAGACAAACCAAACCAAAACAGATACTGTCATGACAGTTCACTCATGCAGCTGATGTCGCATTTCCCAAAACCATTTTTCTTCTGCTATTTCTCCTTTTATTTGCACTTTCCTCCAAATTATGTTTAGGGTGGTTTCCGCAGCACATTGCAGCGTTTATAAATACAAGTCAGTTGTCAAGAATTTTGATCACGTGATCATGGGGGGAAAAAAACTGTAAAAATTGTAAGTTTGAACTTGGTCTTAAGTTCTTTTTTTCAGTGCTGTTGTAACTTTGAACAGTCACTAAACAAACTGTTGTAAGCCGAGGACTATCTATAATCCTGAATCTTCGAGCATGACACAATTTCAAATTTTTGAAATTCTTCAGGAATTTCAAATTCTTCCTTAATAATTTGCTACATTTCATTTTACTACATTTCAATTCTGTTAGTTGTTTTATTGCAACAACCTCCCCTTTCAATAACATGTTTGTATTAAATAAACTAGTTTGTTAATAAGCACATTAGTTCAAGCTTATAAATACATTTTGCAAATAATTGTAATCCACAGTTTTTCCCCCATCTGTTCCTACTGTATTAGTCATCTGCAGTTATACTGACAATTTATTTACACAAAATCTTGGTCAAGGAGATGTGATTCAAGGGAAATACAGGCGACCAAGCAAATTGCTACTTTACAGATCTATACGAATTTTGTTTTTTAGGAGGCCAAATGGCATGTCGCATTATTGTGACTTTTTGAATAACAGCAAAAACAGCTCCAGGCAGAGGAGCTTCTAATCATTTTTCCGCCATAGTAGGCTTCTTTCAGTATAATAAAAGACCACTTCCTTTCAAAATGTCATTTTAAAGAAGAGGATTTTCTGAGAAATTCTTGAAGAATCTTGTGATAAAGACAAGTTAATTAAGTAGTTAAAACATTAAATCAGTGAAATGACTTGCCTGCAGAAGTTGCCAATGCTCCAACACTGCAGGTGGTCAAGAAGAGACCTGAACAATCATTTGTCTGAAATGAGGTAGGGTTTCCTGCCTGAGCAGGGGGGTGGACTAGAAGACCTCTAAGGTACCTTTCAACTGTGTTATTTTGTTCCTTTCTGTTCTGTGAAGCTGTAAACGTCCAATTGTTTCTCCCGTAATCTCCAAATTCTGGTTTCTCAACTCTTCAATTAAATCTCAGCAAAGAAAATTCTTTGGAAAAAAAAGAAATATTTTCAGCAGAATGTTTGAAAGACAAAAGTTGTGTCAGTTTAACTTAAAACCTTCTCCAAATGATATTCTGAGAGAGGCTGGGTGTCAAAGTTCTTCTAACTTTCTGAACGATCACAAGGGGCCACCCATCAGTCCGTGACACCCCAGAAGGGACATGGATTAGTTTTTGGGATAGGGGACTAGTTGGGGGTAAGGGAATTATAAGTGGGACTAGAAGGAGGCAGGTGCTACCAATGCAGGTGGTCCTCAACTTATGACCACAATTGAGTGCAGAATTTCTTAAGTGAGACAGATTTAAGTGAAATTTGCCCCATTTTACGACCTTTCTTGTCACAGTTATTAAGTGAATCATTACAGTAACATGTTTGTAAAGTGAATCTGCCTTCCCCATTGATTTTTCTAGTCAGAAGGTTGCAAAAGGGGAAGTCACATGACCCCAAGACACTGCAGCCAGGGGTGGAATTCTACCAGTTCGCACCTATTCGCTAGAACCGGTCGTTAACATTCTAAGCAGTTTGGAGAACCGGTTGTTAGAAGAAATTACTGGCCTAATCCTGTAAGGAAGGCAGGAAGGAAACATTCTGGTGTCGCTTGCAGAAACTGCCTCTCCGTTAACCCTTATTACATTCTTGGCAGGACTAGACATCCTGTCTCAGGAACGTCTCTGGAGTTTTTTTCCCCCTACTTTGCTGGTACTTTGCTTGTGTGGAGTGACCATTCAAAGTTACAGTGGCACTGAAAAAAGTGACTTATGACCATTTTCCACACTTACGACTGTTGCAGCATCCCCACAGTCACGAGAGGCCAGGCGAGGAGATGCGTGCCTCAATGTGAGTGATGTTGAGTTGGCCACACCCAGCCAGTCACATGACCACCAAGCCACGCCCACCAACTAAGCCACGCCCACAGAACTGGTTGTTAAAAAATTTGAATCCCATCCCTGACTGCAGCCATCATAAGTATGAGTCAGTTGCCAAGTGTCTGAATTTTGATCAGAAGAACATGGGCATGCTACAACAGTCATGTGTGCGAAATGATCATAAGTCACTTTTTTTCAGTGACATTGTAACCTCAAACAGTCACTAACTGCTGTATGTTGAGGACTGCCTGTAATATCTTTGAAGCCTCCGCAGATCCCTGCCATTGTTGGCTAATGCTGGCCATACGGTCCAAGGGAATTAAGAAATAGCTACTTCCAGATAACAGATAATCAGAGTTGGAAGGGACCTTGTAGGTCATCTAGTCCAACCCCCTGCCCAAGCAGGAGACCCTAAACCATTTCTGACAAATGGCAGTCCAATCTCTTCTTGAAGGTCTCAAGTGATGGCGCTCCCACAACTTCCAAAGGCAACTTCCGTTCCATCGGTTGATTGTTCTCACTGTCAGAAAGTTTCTCCTTATTTCCAGGTTGAATATCTCTCCTTGATCAGTTTCCATCCATTATTCCTTGTCTGGCCTACAGGTGCCTTGGAAAATAGCTTGACCCCTTCCTCTCTGTGGCAGCCCCTCAAATATTGGAAGACTGCTATCATGTTCAGGGCTTCAGGGACAGTGATTCCTAGCCAATTGCTTTCAGCTCTACCTCTAGCACAGTGTTTGTCTACCTCAATGGATTTAAACGTGTGGACTTCAACCTCCTGTAATTCTCCCACCAGCACACTGACTGTGACAATTCTGGAAAGTGAAGTCCATATATCTTCAAATTGCTGAGAGACACTGCTCCAGGAAGTCCAAAGGTGCTTTTTCAAGAGGCAACTGGACTTCCTGGTTTTTATTTGAAGAGGTTTCGCTTCTCATCCAAGAAGCTTCTTCAGCTCTGAAAGGATAAGTGGGGGATGAAATCTAGTCAGAGCCGAAGAAGCTTCTTGGATAAGAAGTGAAACGTCTTCAAAAGGAAGAAACAAGAAATTCCAGTTGCTTCTTGAAAAAAGTACCTTTGGGACAACCATGACCAGGATGGCTGAGAATCTCCATAAATAAATGCTCCCAGAAAATGCAGTTTCCCAGCTGAATTGATAACTGTTTACATTTGTAGTACAAGTAGTCATCGACCTACAGACACAATTGAGCCCAAGATTTCCATTGTTCAGTGAGACACTTGTTAAGTGAATTTTGCTCCATTTTATAACATTTCTTGCCACAGTTGTTAAGTGAATCACCACGGTTGTTAAGCTAGTGGCACAGTTGTTAAGCGAATTGGGCTTCCCCATTGACTTTGCTTGTCAGAAGGTCGCATGACCCCAGGACACTGCAACGGTCATAAACATGAACCAGTTGTCAAACAGTTGAATGTTGATCACATGACCTCAAGGATGCTACAACAGTCGTAAGTGTGAAAAACGATCACCTTTTTCAGTGCCGTTGTAACATTGAACGGCCACTAAACAAACTGTTGTAAGTCAAGGGCTATCTCTAGACATCTATCCATAATTCATTGCTTCTGAAGAACCAGGTGTTTTGTGCCCTGTGTCAGCCTTGGAAGCCATATTTTACTTGGAAGCTTCGAGGCTGCCACATTCAGTGCCTGGGAAATTGGGAGGCAGGATTTCATAGCGGGGTAGAAGATTAGACACAACAACATTCTTTCTCGGAGAGTCAAGGACATGGTGCCCTGCACCTGGAAGGGAGGGACTGGGAGGAAGTCTTCAGATGGAATGAAGACTTGATTGGACCATGGGATGGACTGGTGGGTACAGGGGGATGGATCTTTGGTTTCTCTTTTGGGAAGGGAAAACTCAGAACTCTCCGTTTTCCCAGATGTGCCAACATGACTTCTCTAATAAATTCTTACTTGGATGAACTGTCTCTGAATGCTGAATTGAGATGGTCATGTGTTGAGTTTTCTTATTTGTCCTCTTTTTCTACAGGCCCTGAAGCCATCCAACCACGCGACCATTCAGAGCATCGTCAGAGCCGTAGGGGTAGTTTCTGGCATCCCGGAGCCTTGCTGTGTTCCAGACAAGATGTCATCGCTTAGCATTTTATTCTTCGATGAAAACAAAAATGTGGTACTCAAAGTGTATCCAAACATGACAGTGGAATCCTGTGCCTGCAGATAACATTCCTACTTTTTACGGCAACTTTGTGGCTTCATAAACCTCTCCTCTTTCCATTTACCAAAAGCATATTGTTGTCCAGTTTTTCGAACGGATAAGTAAGCAAGAGATGAGAAGGGACATGGAATAGGTTTTCCCCCAGCGGTAATTTTCCTACTTGTGAGCATAGGGAAGAAACCTTGGAAGACTCACCAACCGGGGCAAATAATGCGGGGAGGTTTTCAGTGGATGGTGGGGGGAAGATAGGAAAATGAAAACTGGAAAGAATTCCATCAGGAACTGAAGATTAGCAGGAAAACACAATTTATGTTTTAGGCTGTGCTCGAAGACCATTCACCCAAGCTGCTGGTTTCTCCAATCCATTCTTCCAGAATGTTGTGAATGGTGAAGGAGGTTTAATGTATGTATTGTGCTTTTGAAGCTTTCTACTTTCGGTTATAAGAAGACTCGAATATACCATAAGCTAGTAAGATCCTACTTCCCATATTTCAAAGATTCAAATAATCTTAAAAAAAAAAAAATCTAACCTGTTGATTTTCTTGGCATAATTTACCAGTTGTGTTCTGTTCTACCCCTCACAAAAGCATTCATTCTTAAAATAATAGGAACTTTTTATCTAAAAGCAGAACTGCATTTCTGGTGTGTATTTAGTAAAGATTACACCTCTGTTATAAAATCTTGATCTCTTGATCTCAGTACTGAATACCAGAAAGAAGAGATAAACAGGTTGAGTTTCAAGTTTTAGTTTGCCAGTCAATTATGGTAGTCTATAATTGTAATAACCGTTTCACAATGGGAATTGTGCAGCACACTTATACACTTTCAGGATATTATGGGTAGGGAATCAAGATGGCAGCCATGGCCATAGGATTGATGCTGCCATTTTGACTTTTTATTACCCAGCTTTTGAGAACCTGACATAATAGTCACTCTGTGAGGGAGACTGATGGTTTGTAAATATGATATATATTTATATATATATAAATAAAACAATACTCAAGCCCCAGTAGGAATAACTTCCAGGGTAATGGGTATAAAACTGCAGCCTATCCGGGTGATGAGCTATACAAACTGAAGTCATGGATTAAAGAAAATATAACAAATATGTTTAATGCATGGCCCATTTGGGAAGGGAGCAGATAAATTCTTAACTAGGACCTGGATCATCAAAACATTCCTCGATTTATTGGGTTGGTTTCAACATGTTGTCTGAACTCAGCCACCGTGAAGATGTTCTGTGGCTTTATAAGCTAGGTGAATTGTGATATATTTAATGAACTATGGTTAAACCATGGCTTAGCAAGATGTATGAACTCAGTTTTGCTCTCAGAATCTATTTCAGTCTGAAAATGGAGTCACCCCTGTTAGTTAGAGGCAGCTGTGCCAATATACAGAATCCATATGTGTTGCTGGATAGTCAAGGTGGCAGCCACAATAAAAGCATAGCTATTAGAAGCAAGCAGCCATCACTTGTCATGAAAAGCCAAAGCCAGTAGTTTTATGGTTTGCCACACATATTACAAGAATCTCCCTAGACTGCTTGCATTACCAGGAATGACCAAATAAAGCTTCAAAGATTTTGGGAGAGGTGAAACTTGCACGTTTGCGGCTGTGCAAGGTTTCCAAGCTAAGCCCTAACTTGACCCCTCCTTCCAGGCTAACGGGCAGTTTTCCAACACTTGTCCTCTTCTTTACACACATTGTGCATGTAAAACATATTTACAAGGGGTGGTGCTTCAAACTTGTCCTAATAGCCATTTTGACATTTTTGACACACACACACAAACCCATTTCAATGACAACATGCATAATTATGTAGACCATAGATCTTGGGTTTCCAAAGTTGGCAACTTTAAGACTTGTTGACTTCATGGCTGGCTGAGGAATTATTGAAGTTCACAAGTCTTAGAGTTGCCAAGTTTGGAGGTCCCTGACCTAAATCATTTGGAAAGGTGGGGATCTGGGTTTAAATCTACCACTGCATCTTCTGCATCTTACAGAAGATGGAAAGTGCCTTCCATAGTCTACCGAAAGCCTGGGACAATTTTCTTGCACTCAGGCAAAACTGAAGCAGTGCAAATGGGGTTTTTCAGCTTTAATTTCTAGAGAGACGAGTTGCAGATTCAAAATGTTGAATACTGTTTTAAGGAACAGCCAATTCATTTGTGATTAATCTTACCACCTCTTCGTCTATGTAAAATGTATATAAATGATGAAATAAGACTTTTGTACATTTTTTTTTGTTTAAGAAAAAATGCTTGTACAGTTGGCACCAGTATAGTTTTTAAAAAGCCAAATGATATTTGTATATGGAAAGAAGCTTTTATCAATGCATTTAATTTATTTCTAATGCATATGTTAAGTAATTTCTGCATTTTAGTACTCTTAAAACACACAGCAGTTTTTATATTCATTTCAAAAATTTATATATCTATATATCTGCCTTCAAAAGTAAATGTGTATATCCCAGATCACAAATAAGGATATTTTCATTACTAATATACTGTATAAGCCTGTCTGATTTGTTGGTTTCTCTCCTTTAGTTAACAATGCTTTTTTTCCCACAGCATATTATTGTGTACAAGGTTATGTTTTTGCAAAACAGCATAGTATGAAGTTTAGGACTCTTGTTTATTTTCTAGTAACTACAAAAAATATTTGTGACAAAATCACTGCAGTCTGCAGTTGTTAGAGAGATGTGGAAGTATATATTTTCGTGTTTCTGTATTCTAAGCCAGCAGTTGCTGGTGGGCCATGAGAAAATTTTGGTGGGCCGCAGAGAAATCTCACCCCCAGAGCACCCCCCCCCCAAAGCAATTAATCCAGGCTGCATGAAAACACAAGGCTGCCCTGCCCACATGGCCCACGGGATGCTATAGGGAGGTGGCCCACGGGAATGAGTGGCATTCCTTACCCGGCAAACTTGCCTGCTAAATTGCTATTTTTCCTTTTTCCAACCATCAGCTGTTCTGCTGTGCTGGGAGATTTAGATTAGCTAGGAAGCAGGAAATGGTTGGATTTCTTGCTTTCTAGCTCATGTTTAGATCTTCGGCTCTGCTTTTAAGCACAGCCCAACCTCCCTTAGGACTGAAGGTTCTATGATTCAGTGCAGACTCACGGCAAGGAAATTTTATGTGACAGACTGAGCTAGCCAATGGCAGATAGATAGATCACTGAATGATTCTGTGAGCAACTCAATCTGCCTGCCTGCTTTGCCTGATTTTGGGTAAAAGTTGCTCTTTTTTATAAAAAATTCAATATTTATAAAAATATTTATAATATTTACATACAAGCCATGCCAAGCCAGTCACATGACCACCAAGCCACACCCACAAATTAGGCCACGCCCATAGAACCAGTTAGTGGTTCCTGGGATTTAAAATTATGAGTTTGGTGGTCCCTGAGGTCCAAAAGGTTGGCGACCCCTGTTCTAAGCTATCTAATTCACACTTCCTGGGCAAATATTAGTAGTCCTTGACTTACGACCACATGAAACTTTTGTTGCTTAACAAGAGAATCATTAAGTGAGTTTAGCACTCATTTAGTGACCATTCGAAGTTACAACAACACTGAAAACAGTGACCATTTTTCACAGTTATGACTATTGCAGCATCCCCAAAGTCACATGATCCAAATTCAGACGCGTGGCAATGGACTCCTATTTATGACGGTTACAGTGTCCCGGGGTCACGTGATTCCCCTTTTGTGATCTTCTGACAAGCAAAATTAATGGGAAATTTATTTAACAACCATGCTATTAACTTAAACAACTGCAGTGATTCACTTAACTGGGGCAAGAAAAGTCATAAAACTCTGTCAGAAAGACCTCCTGATATTTTCCCCTCTCAGAATGTTTTTTAAAAATAAAAACAGCTCAGATCCAATTTGATGAAAGAGAATTTGCTTTCATTTTTTTGAAAGAGGAAGATAATCTAAGAGAAATTCTCAAGAGCCAAGTGAAGATTTCCTGTGTATAATTAGTGTTGAGTCAGGCTGAGGGTGTGAATCTCCATTCTTGGCAACCTGCTTAGTGTCTAATACTTAATTAAATCCAAACAGAAGATCTCATCTGAGAGATCTTGCAAGACTTTCAAGGACAGATGGCTCATTATCTGTTTGCCCACCCCTCTAATCTCGGTATCCTGCATGGGATCTAGCACAATTAAATCCAAACAGGAGAGCTCATCTGAGAGCTCTCCCTTTCCTCCCTCCCTCCTTCCCTCTTTCCCTTCCTTCTTTCCTTCGTTTCTTCCCTCCAGGCTCCCTTCCTCTCTCCCTTTGTTCCTTCCCTTCCTTCCTCTCTCCCTCCCTCCTTTCCCCCTTCTTTTCTTCTCTCCCTCCCTCTCTCCCTTTCATTCCTTCCCTCCCTCCCTCCTTTTCTTCCTTCCCTCCCTCCCTTCCTCTCTATCTATCTATCTATCTATCTATCTATCTATCGACTTTCAATGGCTGATTCATTCGTTTGCCCACCCCTGTATTCAGGATACACATTTGTAGCACAGATGCCCACTTTAATTTCCTTCCTTCCATCTTTCCTCCCTCTCTCTTCTTTCCTTCGTTCCTTCCCTCTCTCCCTCTTTCCCTTCCTTCTTTCCTTTGTTTCTTCCCTCCTGGCTCCCCTTCTCTCTCCTTTTGTTCCTTCCTCCCTCCCTCCCTCCTTTCCCTCTTCTTTTCTTCTCTCCCTCCCTCTCTCCCTTTCATTCCTTCCCTTCCTCTCTCCCTCTCTCCCTCCCTCCTTTTCTTCCTTCCCTCCCTCCCTTCCTCTATCTCTATCTATCTATCTATCTATCTATCTATCTATCTATCTATCTATCT